CGTCCAATTTGGAAGAACAGAGGCGCAGTCATCGAAGATTTGGAAGATCAAAGGCCGCCTGCTATAGCATCCATCTAGCCCGATCGCTGCGCCGCCGCTCTCCATAGCACTCATAGCTCCGCTGCGTTCCCATCCTTGTCCGCTTGTGAGATCAGATCCTCATCTGGCTGTTCGTACCTGCCTCTCACGCAGCCCAGCTGAGCTCGCACACAGGCAGTGGTGGGGATAACCGGACAAGTCAGAAGGTCCACTCGTGGCCACGACCGCGAGAGCTCCGCGCTAGCCCCTGTGCTCGGTTCTTCTCTTCCTATGAGATCTGTAAATTTTTTTGAAATTTTGAACAAATTGTGAACAATTTGACATATATTTCTCCGATATCTTGAATCCATAGAAATAATTTGTAATTTTTTCTGAAAAAATTGGCATTATAAAAATAGAAGTTGTATTATTTCCAAATTACACTGAAGAAAAATCATTGTAAATAAAATAATAAGGTAATGTAAATATAGCTATAAGACCGTGTAAGTGTATGGACAAAAATCTGGTTATTTGGAGGGGCTAAACAATCAATTATTGCACCCACAAAACAGCCTCCACAGTCGTGGCGAGTTGCGGCAAGAGTTGTTGAGTGCATGGAGGTTGAAATTTTGTGGCGTGCCACAGCTTACTCTCAAAACAAACGGCAGTCTAACATTTGTGGCACCCGCATGCATGGCACGCTAAAGTGAGGCATGCAACCAAACACCCCCTACATACCTCATTGCTGAAATTCACAAACAACCACTAGGCAACGTTACATAAAGTTTACTTTCTAACTAAACACCGGCTAGGCGGCTACACTGTCAAAACCGTTGGGTCCGGGTCCGAGTACAGTCCTTAGCGCAAGCAGCTAGCATCTCCGGGGAAAATGCTGATTCGATTCAGAAATTGCGCCGAAGGGCCACTGCACGCACGGTCACAGCCGCGCATATCCCGGTGGTGGACTCGTGCGTGCAACGAGCAGCTTCGGTCCAGGGTGCGCACAAGCACAAGCACGACTGATATGATGCGGACAATCTTCGGGCGCTTTCCTTGTCGGTCTGCCGGGCCGCGGTCAAACGAATTATACTATTCTGGCGTTCGTGCGGTCCAGCCCAACTCTTGTCTTCGTCTCTTCTCATCTTCTCTGACTGACTTCACCTGTTGCTTTCTCTAGCTTGCTGATCCGAGGATCAACTTCACTTATTTTTCGCAGAAAAAAAAAGAGAGGATCGAGTTCACTTACGTGTCACATATGCACGCATGGCATCACCACTACTCCACTTGCATTGTCGGAAAACCGGGAGAGGGGACGGGGTAGCGAAGATGTATGGCATAACTTGCTTCGATTTCCTTGTACAAGGAGAACCAACGCTTGGACCAAATGATCGATTTTCCCTCGTAATTGAGCAACAAAAATACATGTACTAAGGCCAGCTAAATAATGTGGGTAGCTAATTTTTTTCTAGTAAACTTTGAATTTTTTGTTTGTTTCGTATCGTTGTCCTCTATCCTAACCCCTCCCCCCCAATTTTTTGTTCGTTTCGTATCGTTGTCCTCTATCCTTGCCCCCCCCCCCCCCTCCATCTACACGAACTTTATATAACTACTACAATCAGTCAATTTGTTGGCTTCAACCTGTTGTCATCTTCCTCTTATCTTTATTTTCTACTTACTTATTTTCCATGGCTTTGTAACTTCTATATGGAGGCCGCGTCAAGGTGCCCTTTAGGTTCCTCTTCATACGCTCCATTCCTCAACAAAACGATGTCTAAATTTCTCACAAATTATTCAGGTGAACCATTATGATATGAAAACGAATCTACAAGGTTAGTGTGCTAATTTTTAGCCTTAGAGTGAAGCAGATGGCCTTTTTCTTTAACTTTACTTACAGTAATACACGTACATTTCATTTGTGTGTTTTTGTCAACATATGAAAATCATGCTACTACACACAGACAAAGCAGCTTTTCCAGCCAAAAAAAAAAGTAGAAACTTCGACCGAAACAACGTACCTTGCCGTTCTATACGCAAAAGAATTTGACGAAACGAAGTGGATGGACCTCTTGTGAATTAGGCTAGAGTTTGTCCGACGGTTACGTGGCCGAATAGTTACATGGCCTGGACCCCTGGGTTGCATCCCCCAGCCCAGGCCGAAGCTCTCTGTCCCTTGTTGCTCCACGTGGGATGATATATTGCCTCCGTCACATTCTATCATTCTTTCGAGAAATTACACCCTTCATCCTTAAATTAATCAATTTTTAGAGTAGTTAAGTTAAATTTTTTTATGTTTAAATGAATTTATAAATATATTTATGAAACTAAATAAATTTATTAAAATTTTTATTTAAGACAATTCTGAAAAATAATTTATTCAATAACCAAGGTAGTAGTGTTAGAGCATCTTCAAGAGAGTTGGGGTTGAGGATAACTTGCTATTTCTATTATTAGCTAACATGTAAGAAATATGGCCTTCAACCGACTAGCTAACGCCATTGCTATTCCATTTGATGCTCTATCTCATGAGGGTCAGAAGCCAAATTTAGCTGGGTGCTGTGCCTTGCTATATTAGCGTATGTGACACTAACAGCTAGTACCATGTTTGTGTTGCTCCAAAATTTCATTCTTTCTCCTTTCATAGAATATGAAGTGTGAGATATAGCTAGTCTATTGGAGTATGCTAAATTATATAGAGAGAAATTTTATAGAGTGGCTAGCCAAATATAGATATAGAGTGTGGAATTTATAATGTCTATTGGAGCTGCTCTTATAGGAAGGTAACACGTGCCCCTACAAAAGGTGTTAATAATCGCACTTTAGAAGTTGAATTCTAGGTAGGCAATTTTTGCGCGACAATTCTGAATTCTAGGAGGGAGTACGCCTTAACACGCGAAATAACGTTAAGATTTGTTGTTGTTTTTTCAGAAAATTCAAACGATGCCGAAGCGTTTTCTTTTTTTTCTTTTTTTTTAGAAGAAAGCGTTTTCTTTTGATGATGCGGCTAGAATGCCAAAACCCAAATGCTAGGCCCAATCGGAGCCTCCCATCAAAGCCCACGAACACCATGATGGCGTATGCGGAGCAAACCAGGCCGATTTTTCGGTGAGGCCGCGCCGCCGCGCGCCTATTCTTCCAAGTTCCATCCATCCACGTTCTCATCGTTGTTTCAGCAGAGCACACATAAACTATACTCAATTTCAAAGTTGTCATCCAATCACACGCGCAAACTCGTGACAAATCAGCCTACCGACATCACAATCTCAAACTTACAGGCGCGCACATCGCTCCGTTTCCACTCCCATTTATGCCACCACCCAGCTCGCCGACGAGCCGGCCATCGCCACAAGCCGCAGTCGTCGACGTGCGCACAGCTGCACCGCAACGACACCTGCCATGGCGAGAGCAAGGGGCTTGTTCTGCCTCGTGTCGCCGGTCCGCGGCGAGCCCTCCGACCGCCGCCGCCGCAGCAGCAGCGCCGCGTGCATATGCTGCGTCGGCCCTCACCACAAGCCGTCGTCCGGCGCTCCCGACGCCGACCTGAGCGTGAGGCTGCCGCTCATCAGCTGCTGCAGCGGCGGGGACGTCCGCGGCCGCAGCAGCGGCGCCGCGCGCACGCCGCGCACCCCGAGGACGCCGTACACGCTCACCGCCAGGCGCCTCTGCGGCGTGCGCTCACGCACGCCGAGCCGCGGGCAGGTCTGCTGCTTCCCCGTCGCGTCGGCAGGACCGGGGCCCGCCGGCGTCGCGAGGACGCCGCGAACCCCTGCCACGCAGCAGCGCGCCTGCTGCGTCCGCGTCCCCGCGCAGCAGGGCCCTGGTAGCGCCAAGCTGGGCAGGCGGTGCCGCTGGTTCCGCTCCGCTCGCCAGGCGGGGGCGCAGACGACGCCGCGCTTTCGGGGCGCCAGCCGCGACACCGCCCACGCTGGCAACAGCAACAACAAAAGCCTCGCGGAGGCGGAGGCGGCAGCGGCGCCTGCCGAGGAGGAGACGTGCTCCAACGACGAGTACGCGCTGCTCTGCAGGGAGGGCTTCTCCCGGGAGGACGTGGCCGTGGTCACCATCCAGGCCTACTTCCGAGGCCACCTGGTGCGCGCCTAGTTACTGTTACATCACGGCCGGGCCCACGGTTTGCTCCGGCGACGGCGTGTACTGACAGCTGATTGTGTTTGCATGCAGGCGCGGCGGGCGTTCAGGGCGCTCAAGAGCCTGGTGAGGAGGATTCAGGCGGTGGCGCGGGGCGCGTTCGTGCGGCGGCAGGCGGAGGTGGCCATCCACTGCATGCAGGCGATGGCGCGGCTGCAGGCACGCGTGCGCGCCCGGCGGATGCTGGCCGTGGCCAAACCCGAACCCCAGGAGGAGCAGCTCCTGCACAGCTGACCGGAGGCTGCATGCTCGGTCGGCAACAAGAGTCCGAGATGATCCATTGCACGAATAAGGTACAGACTGTTTGCAACGTGCTGTCTGTGTGAGATAACGTGCTGTCTGTGTGAGACATTTGCTGTTTTGATTGATGAACTTTGCCTGGGTCTCAACTCTCAAGTCTATAGTGTCCCTGTACTGTAATTGGCCTTCATTTTCTTTTCTTTTCTTTTCTTTTTTGGCTGTGGCAATATGTCTTCGAGACTTTGACTGTGCAAATGTGTAACTGTTGCATTTTGTAACGTTTGGTTTGAGACTTCCGATCATGGAAAACTGCAAGATCAAAATTCTTACACATGAGTACATTTCACACGACACTGAAAGTTGAATTTCATTCAAAAGGGGGGTGGGGCGTACATTTTATTACACGACGAACAAAAACACATGCTGTGGTCATCAGCAAAAGGCGGAACGGACTCGTAGGCCCCTGCACCCGGGAACGGAACTTGAAAAGCAGCAGACAAGTACGACGTATGAAAGCGACACGAACAGCTAGAGGAACCATGTCGATGGACGGCGGCGGCGCAGGTAGTTCATTCATCGGCAGGAAGGGACGGCGACGGCTAGAAGTGGCGCTCGTTCTGGACCTGCTGGTGACTCTTCACGCCGTGGCCGTCGGTGGATCCCGGCAGGTGCTGCTGCTGCTGGCCCTGGGCGTTCTTGGCGCTGGCGTCGGTGGACGGCGGGCGCTGCAGGCTCTTGACGTATTGCCAGGTGTCGCGGATGGAGACGTCGTGCCACCACCTGCTGACGTTCTTGCGGGACTCGAACAATCGGCGGGAGCGCGGGTCGGAGACGAGGCGGTCGGCGTTGGGCAGGTGCGAAAGGTCGGCGATGGTGAAGTTGTCGCCGGCCAGGAACTTGGCCTCCTCCAGGCGCTGCTCGTAGATGTCCAGCAGCTTCTCCAGGTCCTTCTTCCTCTGCTCGAACAGCTTCAGCATCTCCTCCTCCTTCTGCGGGCTCACCTGGCTCTGGCTCGCCACCGGCTGCTGTGTCCCAGCCACACCGCGCTTGCCGCTGGACGCGTCGGCGTTGCTGCCCACGGCGATGTCCCTGGCATTGAACCCGCTGCCGGTGCCGGTGCCGTTGTTGTCGTTCTGCTGCCTGGGAGGGGTGGGCGGCAGGATGGCGAGGCTGTAGACCATCTCGGCGCTGGGCGAGTCGAAGCTCTGCGCCTCCGTCTGCAGCCACTGCTCGATGGACGCGCGCTCCAAAGTGCCCGTGCCGATCAGGTCCGGGTTGCCCTGCTTCGCGTACTTGTGGGAGATGTGGCGCAGGATCCCCCTCGAATCTGCAGCATGTTGGACTATTTTAATCACATGGTCATAAATCTAGTCGGGGACATCTGGTAAATGAATAGTATGTCCTAGTACATGAATTACACAGAAATTAGAGGGAGGAGTAGTGCTAGGTTACCGATCATCATAGGTCTTCGATCCAGAGGCGTCTGACATGGGCGTTGCGTTGGTGTCTGCGTGAGGGGCAGCGACGGTCGGTGAAGACGGTGACGGTGATGCGCGGTGGCGACAGGCGGTGAAGACCGGTGGCGGCGCAGCTGGTGTCTTCTCGTCACTGGCTGCGCCCCTCTCTGATCGGATTAGGGTTTGTTGGTGGAGAGCTCGGCTCAGGCGAACCTCGTACACAGAGCCGTCGGCCCCACCTCTATTTATTGCGCAGTGTGACAGGGGCCCTCCATCCATAGTGGGTTGGGCGCCCCCGATCAGGATGTGGATCAAAGGCCCAACTGGGTCGTTGGGCCCAGTTTGGGTTTAAAGATCAATCTAACAATCTTCCCCTTGATCTCCTACCATCTTTCAATTTCATATCATTCACTTTTGTTCATTCCATTACAGATTAGCGCATAGATCATGTTTCATCGTCATGGTCAATTGCCGATAGATTTAACAGCTACAACACACCACTCTATTCTGAAATAAATACTTAACTTTGGGTCTTCTTTTGTCCAGAAATTATAGGCTTTCCCTTAAACTCATGCCGGGTACATGTTCTCTGAACACATTGGGTGGTAAGCCTTTTGTAAGCGGATCTGCGAGCATCTTTTCGATACTTATATGCTCAAGACTTATGACATGATCCCGAACTTTATCTTTCACAACATAATACTTTATGCCAATGTGTTTGGCAGCACCACTTGACTTATTATTATGAACATACTGTACTGTCGGATTATTATCGCAGTATAACTTAAGTGGTCTATAGATGTCGTCAACCACCTTCAAACCGGGTATGAACTTCTTTAGCCAGTTCACCTGCCCCGTTGCCTCATAGCACGCTACAAACTCGGCATACATTATGGACGATATAGTGACGGTTTGCTTTGAGCTTTTTCATGAAATAGCTCCCCCTGCGAGAGTGAATACATATCCAGACGTGAATTTTCTATCATCTCCTACATAATCAGAATCTGAATATCCCACTATATGGAGTGAATCAGATCTTCTATACATCATCATAAGGCTTTTCGTTCCTTGCAAATAACGCAAGGCTTTCTTTACTAATTTTTAGTGTTCTGTTCTAGGATTGCTCTGGAATCTGCCAAGTAACCCGGTAACAAATGCCAAGTCAGGACGCGTACATACTTGAGCATATTGCAAGCTTCTTACAGCTGAAGCATATGGAACCGCTTTCATTTGATCGATCTCATATTGGTTTCTGGGGCATTGAAAATCCTCATATCTGTCGCCCTTGACTATATGAGCAGCTGATGGACTATATTTGTGCATACTGAATTTCTTTAAAATCCTTTCTATGTATGCCTTTTGTGACAATCCTAATACCCTTTACTTCTATCTCGGTGAATCTCGATCCCTAGAACGAACGATGCTTCACCAAGATCTTTCATATCAAATTTTGAGGACAAAAACTTCTTTGTCTCCAGTAGTAAACTGACATCACTACTAGCAAGTAAGATATCGTCCACATACAGGACAAGGAAGATAAACTTCTCATTCTTAAACTTTGCATAAACACAATTGTCCTCAACATTATCTTTAAACCCAAAATTCCTTATTGTCTGATCAAACTTCAAGTACCACTGTCTTGAAGCTTGTTTTAATCCATAAATGGATTTCTTTAGGCGGCATCTCATTCGTTCTTTTTCTTCCATGACAAAACCTTTCGGTTGTGCCATATAAACATTTTCCTCCAAGTTCCCGTTGAGAAATGCCGTCTTTACATCCATCTGATGTAATTCTAAATCGTAATGTGCCACTAATGCCATTATGATTCTGAAGGAATCTTTACATGAGACTGGAGAAAAAGTCTTATTGTAATCAATCCTTTCTCTTTTTGTAAAGCCTTTTGCCACAAATCGCGCTTTATATCTCTCTATATTCCCTTGAGAGTCAAGTTTTGTTTTGTAGACCCATTTATAGCCTACTATTTTAGCTCCTTTAGGAATTATTTTCAAGTCCCAAACTTTATTGGCATTCATAGATTTTATTTCATCTTCCATGGCCTCAAGCCACTTTGATGAATGATCACTTCTCATGGCTTCTTCAAATGAGGTGTGATCATCCTCCATTTAAAATTCCTCAGTGTTGTATACTTTATAGTCAGCAGGAATAGCTGATTTTCTAACTCTTTGAGACCTTCTAGGGGCCTCCACATTTGGCACATCTTCTGTTTGAGGCTGTTGTTGCTCCCCCTCATATGTGGCAATAGGTTCTATAGAATCCTGAAGAACAGGTTCCTCATCGTCATTTGTTGTTTCCACAGGCAGAATAACAACAGGTGCTGACACCACGGTATCTTGCACTGTCGGTGCAGCGACAACAGGTAGTGAGAAAAATGGCTCATGAATCATTGGAGTGGGCGCATACACCCACTTCTCTTCAAGGTCAATTTCTTGAGTTACCATGCTCCCCCTCATCATTTCATTCTCTAGGGAGACAGCGTGTCTCGTTTCCACAAACTTTGTATGTCTATCTGAACAGTAAAAACAAAAATCTTTTAACTTTTCTGGGTAGCCAATAAAATGGTAACTTACTGTTTTGGGATCTAGCTTTACAATATTTGGGTTAAATACTTTAGCCTTAGCAGGGCTCCCCCACACACGTAAGTGGTTTAGTGAGGGTACTCTTCCTGTCCACAACTCATACGGTGTTTTGAGCACCGATTTACTTGGTACTCTATTGAGAATATGAATGGCGGTTTTTAACGCCACCATCCACAGGCTCAACGGTAAGGTGGAGTAACTTATCATAATACGCACCATATCCATCAGGGTACGATTGCGCCTTTTAGCTACTCCATTCTGCTGAGGTTCGCCCGGTGTAGAATACTGGGCTACTATGCCATTCTCCTATAAGAACCTTGCAAAAGGTCTAGGAACTTGGCCATATGGGGTATGCCGACCGTAGTACTTCTCCCCACGGTCGGACCTGACTATCTTAATCTTTAAATTGTGTTGGTTCTCAACTTCTGCCTTAAATATCTTAAATTTATCAAATGCTTCTATTCTTTCTTTGATTGGATAAATATAGCCATAACGGGAGTAATCATCTGTGAATGTTATGAACGAATCATAACCATCCACACTCTTTACAGGAAACGGACCACAGATGTCTATGTGAATAATCTGTAAAATTCCTGCGCTTCGTTTGACATCTTTCTTAATTTTCTTTACATACTTTCCTTTTATGCATTCTCTACATTGTTCTAAATCTGAGAGCTCTAATGGAGGAAGAATATTATTCTTAACTAATCTTTCTATTCCCTCTCTCGAAATATGGCCTAAACGACAGTACCATAATTTCGACAACGCATCGTGAGCTCTATTTTGTTTTATGTTTACATCCACAGACGAGGATACATTCTCATTGTCGCACGCAACGTTCCCATCATCGCATACAACATTCACATCATTACGTAGTGATAACAAATAAAACTCATTTTGTAAGATGGCAAGACCAACATATGCATTATTAAATGTTATCTTACATTTGCTATTTCCAAAATGGCAATCATATTCATCATTGTCCAAGTATGAAATACTAATCAAGTTTCTTTATAAATAGGGAACATAAAGAACATCTCTAGGTAAAAGTGTGAAGCCATCAGCAAGCTATAGAGAAAGATCGTCAACGGCTTCGACATCTGCTTGGACTCTATTTACAACTTTAACGTGTCTTTCTCTTCTTTGCGTAGTCCTTGTCGAATGGAATCCCTGTAAAGAATTAGCAACATGAACAGTTGCATCCGAGTCAATCCACTAAGTAAATTTCGAATACTGTACATACAGGGATTCATTTATGGGGCCTGTTCGCTTGGAGGAAATCTGGAGGAATTTGGATGGTTTGGAGGAATGCTGGAGGAATTTGTGAGAGAAAAATACTGTTCTGGATGGAAAAAAGAAGCGGATCAAGTCAGATTTAAGGGCACGCGAACGCGGCCATGAATGTAATAATGTTCTCACATTTCTTTGCCATGATCATCTTTAAGTAATCGGGACAATCTTTCTTATAATGTCTCGTCTTTTTACAATAGAGACACTGATCTTTCTCTACTATGAACATGTTCTGCTGAGGCTGATGCAGCATGGGACCCTTTCCCTTTGGCTTTGAGGAAGAGTTAGCATTATTATTCTTTTTCTTATTGTCTTTCACATAATTGATAGTGCCACCATTGGCAGCTTTTATTCTCTCCTCCTCTTTCACACACATAGCCATGAGCATCTCTAAGTCCCACTTCTCGGGCTGTATGTTGTAGTTGACAACAAAAGTGTCAAATTCCTTAGGCAAGGAAGTAAAAATCAGATGGATAAGGAACTCTTCCTTGAGAGCCAGATCCATTGGTTTTAGCTTGGATGCCAAATTGCTCATCCTTAGTATGTGCTCTCTTATGCCACCATTTCCAGAGTACCTCTCTGTCGCCAACTGCTTTATCAGCTGTGTAGCATATGTCTTTGAAGAGCTAGTGAACTGACTCTTTATTCTATCGAGGTACTCAGTGACGGTGTCACACTCTGGGATTGAGCCCACAATTGCATGCTCAATCGTGTTCTTTATCACATCCATATATTTCTTGTTGGCAGTGACCCACTTTCTATGCTCAAGGTCATAGGATATCTTTTGGGATGCAAAATCCCTCTCTCTAGTTGTCCAAGCAGCATCAGCCTCGTTTGTCTTCCTCACTGGTGCCACAGGCTCAGTGGGACACGGTGAGGTGACTACCCAGTCCACCTCAGCCAAGATAAATGCCAGGTCAATATTTTTCTTCCACTAGATGTAGTTATCACCTTTGACAGTGGGGATCTCTTTGATACAACCC